AGAGAATTTGGCATTAAAGGGAGGGGGGGGGGGGTCATTAACTTCCAAAAGCACTGTAAATAAATCTGATGTCTAGACACGTAATCTGCTGAGGGATCTGTGTACACAGCGAGTGCCGGATGGATGGAGCTGTGATTGGCTGCCAGTTTAGTTTGTTTTTTATTAATCTGATATCGTTGCTTTCTATCGACCTAAAGTTTTGTGGCACTCCTGCAAGATGTAGTTTAAACAAGTTGAATTGTCTGTGCTGTCGGGAATACGGTAATATCTGAATCACATACGTTTACTGTTTATATATTAATGTGATGAATTGTTATGTTTCTATGGCAATGCGTTTCATTTAAGACATAATTACAATAATTAAAACAAATGCCACTTGAGCTGCTTAATGTCCCACAATAAGCACCACAATATTAATCCTAATTAGTCAGGCTGATTAAGTCATTTATTAAGCTAATTAATAAATGGATTAGCATGTAGTTCTCATTATACTCATCTTTACATACAAATGTGGATGCAAAAGTCAGTTTCTACTTAATAAAGTCAAAATAAAAAAAATTATTTACACAGGAAGGCGATTCAAAATTTAGATAATATCATCTATTTTCTCCCTCACAGAAAATGTAGTGCAAGAACAATAAAGCTGAAATCAAAATGCGTTTTTAGTCCATAAAAACATTCAACTGAAAATATGTTTGTGCAAAAGAAAACAACCTTATCTGAAGTTTGTACAATGTATTGCTCCCAGGAGACAAGACACACGCCAACACATTACTGCACACTCTGAAGACAACAGCAGTACAGAGTAATATTCACTATCAGAACAAACTTTATAACCTGCCAGATTACACTGTCGCATTATTCATATTCTCTTTTGTTTTTATTTTTCAGTTCTTGTTGTAACAACATCTGACACTGAGTGGCTTGTTGCTGCTGCTGCTTTTCACTGACCTGAAGTTCATCGCCCCCTGCTGGTGGAATCAGCAGCACAAACATGTCAACCATGTCAGCCACTGCAAACTCTGACTGGCCCACACCTGCAAACAAAAAGACAGATTTAATTGTCACCGCTGACCGACAACATGACAAAACATGATGCTGACACTGACAGCAAAACGTAAATCAATGACCATCTTAAAAACCTCAATCTGAATCTAAAACCACCAATTTGAATGGTGTATCCTTTTACCAATACAAAAGTAATTCACTGTATACATTTTTTTTTTTTTTTTTAAAAAAAGGTCAAGGCTGGTTCAGAAGTTCTTATGAATACCCTTTACAAACTTCAGATTCATCACACTGAAGAAATTCTAGCCTCTGAGATGTAAAGTAGGTGTCTGATGAATAAGGTGCCGAGTATCAATCCTCAACACTTGACTGAATATGTGTCTGGAGCACCAAGTTCTAAAAAAAAAACTGGGTACTGAAAGTTACAATGAATACTTGTTACGATCAAATCTTACAGATTGAGATTGTTTGACGTTTTTGTAAGAACAGCAGTGAACATTGATACATTACGCTAAACACAGAAAAATTATTGCTTTCATTCTGACACTGATAAAGAAACATTTTATATCAATATGCAGTATGATATTAATATAATGGGGGAGTAAGAGGAGAAAATTACCAGAAGAACATTTTACAAAAATGTCATTTTCTATGTTTTTATTTCAAAAAGGTGTATATTACAAAAGGAAAAACCAGCAAACAGTGAAATGAAGACTATAACTTTAAAGAAGTCTGTCTAATAGCACAATGTCTTACCTACGGTCTCCACAAGGACAATGTCGTATCCTGCACCCTCACAGAGAACAATGGCCTCATTAGTTGTTCTGGTGACTCCACCAAGTGTTCCTGAGGCCGGAGATGGCCTGATAAAGGCATTCATGTCCCTGGAGAGTTCAGTCATACGAGTCTTATCACCCAACAGAGACCCTGCAACAAGAGAGAGGAGTCAGTTTGTAGAATGAATTTAACAACAGTCGTCAGTGTAACAGTGCTGCTGCTGTTGTTCCTACAGATAATATAGTTGTAGCCTACATAAGACATTAAAACATACACAAACATTGTAATCACTGAACCTGCAAAAATAAATATCTTTATACATCTCATTACAATTTCCCACAAATCTATTGTAGATTGTAAAGCACCCAATAACAACTCTTAATCAGTATCACATGATGAGGATCTGTGTCTCAGATGTTACCTCCCGTAGTGCAGGAGGACGGGTCAACAGCCAGCACTGAAACTTTATGTCCACGCGCTGTCAACATCTTCCCCACCACCTCGATGAAGGACGACTTCCCTGCTCCTGGAGGACCGGACAGACCTGAGAAATCAACAGAGCCATCAATTTAGAAACAAATGGCACCGAGAACTGATTTATTTGACTTTGATCGGATTTTTAAAAACAGGCTTAAATACAAAATAAGCTGTTTAAATCTCACAGCTACAGGTTTGAAACTAACACTGGTGACTAAGCCAGGATGGGCATAGAGACCATCAGCGTGTAAAATGCGTTCACTGACTTCATGTAATGGAGAATTACTTTAACAGTAACAGCATCAGAAGAAAATATGCTTATATTGTGCTCACATTCAGTAATAAAGTTGTATTTAAATCAGATTATGACACTGATGCAGAGTGAACCTGGAGGTATGTATAGTGCAGGGGTGTAGTGGTAAATACAGAGGTGGGTAAACGGTGGGTAAATTATAGCTTACCCACATTCTTTCTGTTTTAAAGGGGTTTTTCCCTATCGAGGGTCTAAGGACACAGGCTGTCATATGCGGTACACCTTGTAAAGCCCCTTCAGGCAAATTGTTATTTTTTGAAATTGGTCTACATACAAAAGAAAGTACTTGCATTTTGATTGACGCTGTCAGAGAGGTATTGAGTTAACTATATGTAAATTATTGAGGGTGTAGTTTGCAGAGCTGTTTAACTGGACTGAATAAATGGTGTTTCAAATATATAGAGTGCAAGAATATTAGAAACACATTTCAACATAATGCAGCCCAGTACAAAAACACCAATCACCGCCTGTTAACTGAACATTATATATGCATTGGATGGAATTACAGAACACACACCTACTCTGAATGCCACTGGCTTCCCTGCATTACGACTCTCCTGCTCCCTCCTGTAGGCCAGCACCCTCTGCAGCAGCACCTGGGCCAGCTCTTTTTTGCGAGGATGCTGGGTCTCCACCAAAGTGATGGACTCGGCCAGAGACGCCCGCTGTCCTCCGATCAGCCCTTGGTACAGTTTATTCAGCAGTCTCTCCTCGGGCCCACTCAGGTCCTGTACGTGCTGCCCAAGGGCTGTGCTCACACCCCTCCTGTGCTGGCAGATGAGACCCAGCATGGTGCTCTGGTTGCAGGTGTGGGGACCAGTGTAGACCCCTTGGTGGAGGCAGCATGTCCGGGTGCCTGAGGGGACAGCGAAGGGGGAGATGTGGCGGAGGAGGGAGAAGCCAAACCGTCGCATTTTAGGGTGAATGTGGGGCATCTAGGAGGAGAAAGATAAAGAAAGAAAGCCATTTTGACATGAAATAGGGTAAACACAGGTGTTACCATTGATATTAGTTAAGGTTTCAAGCATTGTTGGCTCACTGGAAAAGCTCTGCTTGATAAACTAAATGGAAAGGGCCTTTGGTAACATGTCAACATGGCTGCTGCTCTGTGACATGACCAAACAACTTCCACAGACTAAAGTTAACTTACTCGACTGTTTTATCGGTTATCTTCAGTCTGAACTTTTGGCTAACGGTATGTAAACACGACGTTTGCTCGTCCTGTGAGTGTAAAAATAGTTGTCAAAAACATAGCTAGCAAACACTTTACTACAGATTGTCCATTAAATGTTTTTGAGATGAGAATTCACGGCTGACCTCGAACCAGCTGCCGCAGGTTCACTTACATATCAACACGGTTGTTTCATTCATCCAATTCCTGTTTCCGGTGACGTGCGGCGCCGCCCCCCACAAACACTTCCGTCGACTCATTTAATACAATTTTAAAATATCTGTAAACTCTGTAAAGATGTATACAATGTCAAATGTATTTTAATAGCGCCTTTGTTAAAAAAAACGTGTTCATGAAAAGTAATAAGTAAAAAAGAAAACCTAATGTTGGCAGTAGACATATTTAGCCAGCAGATGGCAGTAGAGGTCAATATTCACATCATACATGAACCCACAAACTGGTTCTTTAGTCAAATCATCACTTGAAAAAGCCATATGTTGACATTGTATTACAGCCAATGCATCCTTTATTTATAACTACAGAGAAGTGGGTATACTCATAATTTTTGCCTGCATGTTTTTTTTAAGCCCAGAAAGAATAAACACCCTGTGTCATAAACAGTAACATGTACAACTGCTGTTGCATATTTAGCTCACCCAACAATGGACCAGTAGTATTCTCACTTAACTTGTAGGAGGATATATTTTGCAATCAGTACTGGCCCACACACTATAGGGTGAGACAACTAAATAATTACACATTTTGAGTGAAGTATTCCTTACTTTACCCCTAAACCCTTACTCCATCCACTCATGAAAAAATTAAAAAATGACAGTAATGATGATAATACAATACAGCTTGCGTTTGGCTAGCTTTTTGAATTCCTAATAACAAACACCTGTTAATTAAAAATTATTTAGTACTGGCAGAGGCGACTCCAAGAGATTTAATTACAAAGGATTACATTTTGGTGAGCTCTTGGACTAATTAAGCACATTACATACTATAAAATAGTGGGAAACTATTTAGTATAGGAGTGCGACTGGCCAAAGCTACTTAAATAGGGATTATTATTAAGAACTTTTATTTGATGGGCTCTTGGACTCACTCAAAGCACATTAAAATAATAAGAAAATTGTGGGTAAACAATGGAAATTTGAGTTAGAATTAGACTTCTCCAAATCAAATCTGCATCCATTAAAAAGCATTTTATGAATAAATAATGTTAGGTTGCCTGTTAGGACTACACAAGACAAATCTGCATGTTCCCTGAAAAATTACGCATTTATTGTGTATAAAATACCTGATTACATTTAGTTTTCACTCAAAATTCGTAAATAAAGCATGGGTTATCAGTATATCACAGGGCTGTAACACACAGGGTGGACAAACACTCGCTAATACTTTAAGTCATGAGACATTCAGAGTCTCTAGTCCACCTGACGTGCTTGTCTGTGGAATTTGGGAGAAACATGCAAACTCTTGGGAGGCAACAGTGCTAACCACTGTGCAACCATACCACCCACGTCATGTACTCAAATGAAACTCCAGCACGCAAACACACACATACACACACACACACACACACACACACACGAAAGTCAGTGATTTCCAGGGGAGCTTCCTGGAAGATTGCTGTTACTGTGCCAGTACTGTCACAATATGCTCCCATAAAACAAAGGAGAACACATGATTTCATGTATTTCCCTCCAATTTACTGGAAAATGCAATTATGCTTAACATTAGTGCAGTTAGGTTTTCAAGATGCACTTGTAATTGTTGTGCCAAGCCTAATTGAAGGTCTACGTCCATACACACACACACACACACATACAGTGGTTGATGTTTTTGAAAGTCCCTGACAATACCATGATGCATATTTTCTTAGCATGGGTGGCCTGTAATTAAACAGACAGGCACACAAAGACACATAAACATGCCCAGACACAGTGTTCATAAAAGAGACAGGGATGCTGCAAGTAATGAAACAAATTTATTGAATCTTCCAGTAGAGGCTTGATATTCATGGAATAAAACTGCTTTTCTGGGAGTTTTTACTGAGCGAAAAAAAACAAACAAAAAAAAAAACAAAGAGGCGATGTGTGAAAGTGCAGACAAACAAAACAGAAAACATGTTCAAAAATACAAAAAGAATGTAAAGAGTAATACAGTTTAATAGCAAAGAGGATTGCTCAAAGCATAACAGAATTGAATGGCAAAATCTGCATTTTATAAAAAAGAAGTAACTGATACCCTTTTCTCAGTCAACAATTAAAATTTGAATGCTCAACATTTTCCTATAATAGTCATTTAACAAGTTTTGCACAGTCTGTGTAATAAGAGAATGAAGCACAGTCACTGATATATTTATGTCCTCAATGTGACGTATTTGACACATTTGATTTTTGCTGCAGAGTTTACAGCAAGGGACAAACTAAACTGCACTTTTATTTGCCTCTGCTGCATGTGGTGTGTTCAGCTACCAGTCTTAAATGTGTAACACTACACTAACCAAACTATGCTTTGCAAAACCAGACTGCACAGCACATATTCTAATAGTGAATATATCTAACCACTATTCTTTTTTTTTTCTTATTAAAATTCATTTGAAACACGAGTGTAACACAACATGAGCAACATTTAAACATTAGTCTTTTTTTTTATGAATAGACTGAAATGCCCTTTTAGTGCCATGCCCCACACTAAACCCCACTCTAAACTCTCAAACTCCCACTAATTTGCCCTCCTATTATTTTTCATGATCTGTGATATGGGATTTCATTTTTATAATAACTTTGTACTGCTTTAATTTATTAGCCTAAAAAAGAACACTGAGAAAACAGCATACTTGTTGAACAATCTGGAGATGATTAAAATGTTCAGACATACTGGTCAACCTCCAAGTCCCTGCTAACTTTTTACATGTCATAAGTACATTTCATGCCAACCTCACTGCAGTCAGGCAATAGACAGCAGCCGACTGCAATTTCGCTGACCTGGAATGTCCCATAATTATTGTAACTATACAAGTATATCTGGATTTCAGAGGGAATATTTGGATGCAAACTAGTAATGAGTCAGAATAATAGAACAATGAAGAAGAGACATTGTTGGAGCAAGATCAGGGAGGATACTTGCGTCATGATGAGTGTGATGGTCTAATTATTACAGTTGGTCACAAAGATCAAGTATCTTCCAGTTGCATCACGCTCACTTTGCTCACTCCTCTCCCAGACTGTAAATGTGCCCAATTCAGACATCCTTCAAGTAGAGAACAAACCAACCCATTTAACAACCCACCCAGCCCTACTGGTCGCAGATCAGCTTGTGTTTCAGTCAAAAACCTGTATCAGTTTCTAAAAAAGGTAGATTGGCTGAACCACAAGATTGGCTGTGACCCCATTCTTGCTACTTTGACCAAAATGCTGGGGTATGGACAGTCACAGGGCTGAGGACAGTGAAGCCTAGGAGACGGAGGATATAGGGTTGTGGGGGGAGCCCATCTGGGTTAGCACCTTATCCAACCACTGCAGGGGACCATGCAGGTGAATCTCAATCCAGCAGGGTGTGCTGGTCACATCCTGGCGGTGGTACTCTGCTCCCCAGCCCTGGAACACATGAGAACACATCATATCTTGTTATTATGCCACAAATGATTGTGCTGGTTCTTTTTTTTTAAAGATTGTTTAAATGTTATTTGAACTGTCCAGTGTTAGTGTTAAGTTCTGCTTAAGGTCATGATGATTAGGGCTGCAACTAGTGATTATATTAATTATCAATCATTTCATCACTTTCTTCATTAAAATGTGAAAAATAAAATGTAGAAAATGTTTTCCAAAGCCCAAGGTGACATCCTCAAATGTGTTGTTTTGTCCTCAACCCAAAGATATTCAGTTTACCTGACAACTAATCGATTAATCAACTAACCTTTGCAGCTCTAATGGTGATATTTGCCTTTGTATCAAGATGTCCCATGTTAAAAGTTTATAATAATTTCTGATTAGTTCATTTTTGAGAATAAAACTAGAATTTAAAAAAACTAAAGGAAGGAAGTTTTTCAACAGATTTGTACCCCAAATTTATGAAGCAACTTAAGAGAGAAACTCCCTCCAGACAGCAACAAGGCCTAAAAGATTATAGAGATGGTTTGTTCTTTTATACTTTATTTTACAAAGTAAATAAAACATTTAGGAACAGCTTCAGGCATTCTTTTCTATGCAGAGCTATATAATTGCCAAGCACATATATTATATTTATTAACTTGAATGTACTTGAAGTGTGCAAGGTGCAGCTGTATTATCTATGAAAATACCAAGTCACATTGTGAATGTGATCAGCTAAAGGGAGGCATCCTGAACCTCCTCTAAATAAAATAAAAACACAAACAAAAAGACTCAGGGGCCTAAAAATCCTTAATTGTAATTAAAAAAAACTAATCTGAACAGCTTACCTTAACAAAGCTCATGCGGATAGTACACATCTTGGTGAGCTCATAAACGGCCTCGAAGCCGTGGTTGACGGACTGGGCCAGCAGCTCAGCGAACTCCTGGTTGTTGAAAATCTTCAGGCTGCAGCCGCTGGGAATCTTACACACAGTTGTGGGATGGAAGCCGTGATGGTAGTTACAGTTACGGCTCTGGACAAAGATACTGCTATCACTCAGACATTCTGCATACACCTCCCCACCAACGTAATACAGATGGACACCTGAGAGGAAGCAGCAGAGGATAAACTGTTAGGTCACCCGAAGAAGAAGAGCTCACTTTCATCAGCAAAAACACAGGTCCCAAAACATCAGAGGTCGTCTTAAAATCAATACACTAAAATGTTTACTCAATTTGTTGTTATTATTCTGTTCTAACGTCTATTGACAACAGGAATTGATTGAGTCTCGTCTGCTGACGGTCGGTGCATTACAGTCATTGACAGGCTTTCCCATACTGCACCTTTGCCGATGTGCCGCCGGGTGTTCTCAATGGTGGAGTTGCGGTTGACGTTGGAGAGCAGGCCGAGGCAGAATCGGTTGCGGTTGTTGGAGGGATCTGTGAAGCCATCGACAAGCACACTGGTAGAAGAGGCCTGGAACGCCTCTCCGACGCGATTGTTGAGCTCGTAGTAAACAATGGAGCACCAGTGCTTGGGTTCCTCGTAGGCCACGGGCTGCACATCTGCACAGGAAACACATTAACA